GCACGGCGTCAGCCCTTAAATAACCTTAAATAGTAGTTTCCATGTTATGTTCCATTATCCCAATGGGTACTCGTTTGTAAGGAGGTTGTTCTTGGACGTGCATCTCACAGGTATCTACGTTCGTTCTCTCGCAACATCGAACCTGAGGGCCATCACTTGGTTGGCTGTCCGTTGCGTTCCGCTCATGTCCGAGGAAGGCTTTGCTTAGCAAATGCGAGGCAGTTTCAAACAATGAGCTAGGCCACGCGTACATGTCTGAAAGTTTGTGCCTCAGCGAGTCCATCCACCAAGCCACGTGCTCTTTTTATTCTATCAGTGCATATTGCAGAGGATGAACAAATCTTCCATGCAAATCTCGCGCAACATGATCTGCGCTTGGGCCGTCGCTTGCCAACAGCTCGCACGAAGTAGCTCACCACGAATCCCTGGCAAACGAACATCTGTCCAGACCACCATGAACCATCAGTCGGCTATGATAACTGCAACTCCTCTCTCTATCCAGTAATGTCAGCCTCGCCTGGAATATGATCATACTGGTCCCAGCCACGCAAAAAATGATTCCCAGCTGACCGGCTGTGATACCATACACATCCTGCAGCCACACTGGGATAGCAGGTGGGGCGCTCTGCTCCTCCAAGGTTATTCCTTGAAAAGCAGCGGCGAGACACCCATGTAGATGCCCATCGCAAACTCCTTCATCAGAGACTGTCCAACGGAGCTGGCTCAAGCCCGGATTGATCAAAAACTTGGTCTGCGTGCATACGGGCAATGCAAGCCGCTCCTGTAAAAGACTGAGGCAGCAAACCTCAAGGCACGGTATGCAGTGGAGACAGATCTGTCATCTGCTTGCTCCAGACTGACCACGATAAACAACAAAATCCACATGGGGGTTTCCCAAGGGTCTCCCTATGTAGGGAAACTACCACATCTGAGATCATCCGAGCAGCAGCCCCCAGTATCGGTTCGCTCAGCAGAACACCCACCAGCCGCTTCCAGCCAGAGAACGATCCTTTTGTGGATGCCTGTGGTGTCACACATGCACATAGCGGGTAAGCCTGCCTAACGTCAGCCTCAACAGTGTTTTCCTCAGCTTGCTGTGCCTGCGCAGGGTCGAAGGTAGTGATCCCAGGCAACTGATCAAGCACCAAGCATGTCTCAGCTCCTCGCTTGATCCTTGCCCCCCTCCTCGGCTGTTCTGCTTATGTCTATGAGATTAAGCTTCAGGCCTTTTGGGATAATGGAAAAGAAAATGGAAACTACTAAACTGGAGAATCAAATGGAACATGAAATGGAAACTGGTATTATAGGGCCAGAAAAAGTACGCAGCATCACTGAGGCCAATCCATGCAAGGTACTGGCAACTGCAACGCAGCCAGCACAAAGTTGAAGAGGGTGCACAGCGAAGCCGTGGAGCAGACGGCCAGCCTCAGGCGCGCATCAGCATTCGATTTTGACTTGACAAGGCTCATTGAACTTATTCATAGTTCATAGGGAATCAGGGAATATAATCCCTATACAATCAAAATAATATATAACCCCTATATTATATAATCCCCATATAAACTCTTCCCTATAGTTCCCCAACAATGTATTCCCTTATTCCCTACAAACCCCCAGTACATCAAATGGGGCTAGCGCACGCCATAGGGTGCGATGAAGCCTGCGAGTCCAGGGCCCACAACCACGCCAACCTCAGCCCCACCGTTCCATGCATGGCCTCATACCCTCAGATTACATTTATGTATAAAAGAATATAAATAGAAAACCATATCTATTTTTTAGGTATCTAAATATACATTATATATATATATGCATATGTGCATGTTTGTATATGCCATATCGCGTAAGCTTTCACAACGCCCCCCCCCCTCCCCTCCTCCCTCCACCCGCCTCCTCCCCTCCCCCCCCTCTCCCAGTTCAACAACAAGCTCATGGCCAGCATGTTTATAGATACGGCCTCACCCCTAGACGGGAGTGGGGTGGGAATGTGGAGTTCGGACGCATATATATACATAGTGTTCCAACTTGTCTCAGAGGCGGACCCCATAGGCAGCCATTATCATCGCCATCTTGCCAACTCGTTCCTGGCCGCGACTTCCAACTCCCACTGTGCGCTTCAGCGGTTAGACATCCAGTCCTCTGCCGACGTCACGTCAGCCACAATGGCTTGGCAAATGCAAACCTCGGAAGATCCATCCAGACCAAAGTAGCAATGAAACTATTCAATCAAAGTCGTCGTGCAGACCAGGCACTGTGCCTGAGAAGAAACCATGGCACGCACGGAACGTGAGCAGTTGCCATAGGGAAACCTCTGGCGCAGGTGCAAAGAGCAGCACCACTAGGACAAACCGTCAGGCCCTCGCTGAGGAGTGCACTGCAAGTCCGCATGCTAAAAGAAATATACTGCTTGCGAAGAGGCTAATCAAAAGAGTCCTGACTTCAAACATGTCGATGCATGACACCACAAGGTCAAGATTTCACGCTGCACCCTCCCGGTTCCTTCGCTTCCCCACGCTGTCAGACAGCACGCCTAACACCATGGTCCCGAAGACCTGCAGCTGGACTGCAGAGGGCCAATGCAGACAAAGCTACGCAAGTGAACAAGCTCAAGCCTGCATCAAACTGTAAAGCGATTGCATCAAGCCAACGGCGATTGCAGAGCCGTGCATCCTTTGCTTAAGCTTGATTCATAGGCATGGGCTGTCCTCTGGGCAGTCTGCGAACATTGGTGGCAGCTTTGCAGTCAAGCTGCTCCGTGGCGATGTATGGGAGCAACGGGAGAACCATCATTGCTCCCATTTTGTCAAGCATTACTGCGAGGTAGATGCTCCTTCCATGATTCCGCATAACTGGAATCGCAACTAAACCGGCTAGCAGGCAGCCAACTCTGTCCACCCACTTCCCCAACCAAAGTCACTGCTCGCACATCCCCAGGAACCTCCTCCACCCTCTATGTGGCCAGCCCCAGTTGTGACTTGACCATTTCTGATAGATACATGCTTGCAGCTATCCCTTCTAACCGATTCTATTGTTATCACTATTCTTACTATTAATACTTTGATGACTCTTATTACTACTATTACTAATGTAACTATTACTATTCTATTACTACTCTTACTACTATTACTACTGTCACCGTGATTACTATTGTTACTACGATTACTACTTAACCAAAAAGAAGGGATGCTGCTGGGGCTCGTCAAACTGGTCTGCCCCGTGTCACCGCCATCAGCAGAATCGGCCGGCATGGCAGATTGCAGACGAGCTCTTGCCCAAACAGAATTTGATGTCGCCTGCTTGGCCTTTTACATCTGCACGTAGAAAGTACTAAGTAGGTCAGGGGGTCTGTCATGAGTTATAAGGTGGCCAATATATACCCTATTATAATATAGTAGTTTCCATATTCTTTTCCATTATCCCCATATATCCCCTAGATAATCCCTATAGTTTCTAGCCAAACATTGTCCCATGTACAGAGGGCAGTCCTCTCAGCCTTGGCTAGTCGCTTGGTAGCCCTACAATCTGGCACAGATACAACATAACATACTGAAATATGCCATAATATAACATGATAGGACAGCTTAAAACAGAATAGACTAGAACAGAATGAGCGCAATCTAATGTAGTTAAAGTACAGCCGCTTTGGGCGGTTGGAGATCTTATCTCTGACGTGCCAGCCGAGGAGCAATGCGACAATGCTTCGACATATGATGACACTAACTGAATGAAAGTCCAACACTTGGCAGTCCTGGATGGGGAACCCCCGCACCCCCTAATTTCAAACATTCCAAGTATTATATAATATACCACAATGGGAACAGTCAGTGACGGGGAGTGGTGGTTTAATTTTAGGGGGTGGGGATTAGCTGCCCTTCTGCGTCCCGGAGCACTCGTGGGGCCTCAGGGCGGGTACCTTGTCATATCACATTGCAGTCCTTTCTTTCATTTCCGCCCGCTTTGTTGACGAGACTCCAGCATGTCGGAAGCCACTGAGTAAGGACTGGCTCTGTGCTTCCAGGAGTTCGGAATCGCCACACACAGTTTCAGCAGCCAAGATTGCTGGAAGGCGTTGACCATGCCGGGCCTGTCGCATAGATGCCGAGACATGGTGTAGGCCATGCAGTCAAGAGGAGCTTCAGAAAGCTCTGTTGCTGGCAGACCGCAGTCAAGTGAGATGCGGTCAAATTTCGACAATTTCGAGCGGCAGAATGTCTGAGAGGAACAGGTCCCTGTCCCTATGGCACGGATCCACCATAATGGCTGTGCCGCAAAGAGCATACCATCAAACCGCAAGTGCAGGCACTCCCCCTCTTGATCGCAACCGTGGCGAGGTAGCACTGTAGACTTACCAAGCTCAAGTTCAAGACTGCCCGCCATCCTGCATTTGAGCTGGACCGAATTTCAGCTTTGGGTGGAAGGCTGTCCCGATCCAAACCGCCCCAATCTGGCTGGACATTCTGGTCCAAGATCATCCTGTCAACCAAGCGCTTCTTCCTGTCGCTCGAGAACGGCTCTGATTTCCTGTGTCAGCTCCAGCGCTGCCTCTTGTGCAGACAGCGGCAGCCATACCGGCCTAGACTCTGAGAAAGATTCCACATGTTGTCTCGCCATGTCCTGAGCAAGTATATTAGGCTGGGATGGGGCAGGTCTGCTTCCGGAAGTAGTGAAGAGCTGTGCTGCAAAAGGAGTCTACCGAGGACCACACCAGGTCAGTAGTTTTCAGCGAAGGTGTTAGAGAACAGTCGGCCTGGTTGTATCGCTTCCCTTGCAAACAACATTTTCCAAGGTTGGTCCCGCCTTGCTCAATTCATGCAGCAAGGCAGCACCTTTGAAAAGTTGTGTTGGGCCCATGACAGAGAGGTTTGATTCAAGAAGGCCACTACCTCCAAGAAATTGGCAACATGAAGCCAGAAGTTCATGGTCATGTTCGTCACTGCCTCGACAGGCTGCGGGTGAACACTACGGAACGTCCACAACAAGCACAACCTGCCCACGCGGCAGCGGATACCATGCGCCTTGAGATCAAGCTCAACAGGGCTCTGCTGCCTCACATTGCGTACCATACTCTGAGGTACAAACTCGCGGGCATTCAGCAGCGCAACTGCAGCCTCAAAACACAGGAAACTTCATTCAACAAAAGCCATTTGCTCGACCTCGATGCCTGTTCTGCAACGAGAGACATCACGGGCAAATGCTGCGTCAACCTGCCAGTCAGGCTCAGCTTCGCTCCACTTCACTGAGACTGTTTGAGACTGTTGTACGGCCTCGTGAAGTGCCTTGCTGCTAGTTTTGCCTGCACGCCATGGAAATTCTTGCTGGCATATATGTGCCCATGCCATGGCGACCTGTTGAGGTGAGTCCATGGCCCGCAGCGTCCACTCCTCTGCGCCGAAAAACAACACTTCCACGTAGATCTTCAGCAGTGAAGACCAAGCTGACGCTGGGGGAGCTGCAGCAAGGTAAGCTGTGACATCGCTTTCATTCATCCGACCTGCAACATAGCATAACTGAGAAACAACTCCATGAACGTCCTGCTTGTCTGGGACCCGCGCTGAGGAACGCTATGCAGGCATCTGCCAAAGACTCTGGCGTGTAGGCTAGGCCATCTCCATGACCCCCTGTCCAAGTAGCGGAGAAGGTTGCCTGGTCAAATCAGCTACAACCAATAATCCCAGTTTCCATCTCATTGTCCATGTTCACTTTCTTTTCCATGTGATTCCCCATTCTTATCACCCTGAACCCCACATCAGCTGCCTAATGCTTCCTCATCTAGACCCGTGAGTAATAAACCCCTCTATTAAGGGCCTTAAGATTAGGATCCCTATTATAATCCCTACTAATGGGGGGGGGGTTATTAATCAGGGGTCTGGGTTACTGTATAGTAGTTTCCATTTTCTTTTCCATTATCCCTATACAACCCCCCATATAGCCCCTACATTATCCCTATGCAATCCCTATACTTTCCATTTTCTGTTCCATTATTCCTACATAACCCCCCTAAACCCTAAACCCTAAACCCTAAACCCTAAACCTAAGCCCTAAACCCTAAACCTAAGCCCTAAACCCTAAGCCCTAAACCCTAAACCCTAAACCCTAAACATATACCCCTATTTTCACACTTGGTAGCTCCGAGCTCCTGCGTTGCCAGCAGTGAGCCGTCCGCCATCCCATGCCACGAAACACCAGGAACCGGCACAGCTTTCAGGACATGCTGAAAAGGAATCGGTCCTTGAAAGGGGGTTAGATAAGGGATTATTTAGGGGATTACTACAGGGGTATTTGTTTAGGGTTTAGGGTGTTCACAAATGGTAGTTCCCATAAATAGGGCGACCCCAATGTCGACCCCCAAATACTATAGTCCTTATTATTGGGACCCCTAAATTGGCACTCTGATTTCGGTAAACCCCCAATCAGGCACTTTGGGGACCTCCCAAGCAGAAACGCTGGAGCATGTGCGCGGTTTCCGTCTCAGGCCTGCAGAACATCAAGCCACTAGGTCTCCCAGCATAAAAAAAAACAGGACACTGCTCTAATACATCATAATATACTAAAACATACTATTCTATAGTGTCTAGAATATATACTAGAATATAACATATAATACTATATATATATATATCATATCTCTCTCTCTCTCTCTCACACCTGGCTAGTATCTTTGCGAGATGAACGGCCGGAGGTCGCGGCTGCAGTCCTCGCAGTCGCATGGACTCCGGGAGTCAGACGCGCAACCTTTCCGACACACTACTGCAGGCAGAGCTCCTTGCTTCGATACCTGCGGAGTTCCAGGGCTATCTTACAATATGTTTTTGACATATGAATATATCATGGTATAGTATGTACTTCATCTAAGACTTCATAGTATCATATCAATATAGTATACTATAATAGGTCATGGTATATTATGGTATATTTCAGGATGACATCAGCATAGTGAAGCTTTGGACCGGCCTGAGGGACGAAAGCCCATTTTCCACGTTCGGACAAGGTGACCAGGCCTTCCCCAACAAACTCTTCAGGTCAGGGTTGAGGGTTTAGACACGCGCATCGCACAAGCAGGCACGGCAAGAACTGTTCGGTTCGGGCACTCACTTTGGAGCAAGTCAGCAACGGTCAACCACAAACAGTGACTTCATTTGTGCTGACGTCAAAAGGAAACTGTTTTCATTTGACTGCACACGAGAAGGTAAACGACACATCTCAGTTAGCCACCTCAGATCAAATTGACATCATGCAGGGACGGCAGGCAACACTATCTGTTCCTCCAGCACAGATATGTCATGCATTCCACAACTGACATTGTCATCCTGGACTGTATGCAGATGTTGATTTCCGGCTTGCATGCCAAAATGGCTCATCAAGCAAGGCAGTTGAGGGTTTAGGGCTTAGGGTTTAGGGATTAAGGATTACGGCATATTACGGTTTAGGGTTCAGGGTTGGCCTCCTTTCCCCTAAGCACCAGAATCTTCGAAGAAGCTCCAGCAAAACCCAGGCCATAGCTGAATGAGCCATGAACCCAGCACTTAGCATTTTACACTTACTGTGCTTAGTAGGGAATAAGGGAATATATTATGTAGGGATTATACAGAAATTATAATCGCTTCTTTCCGACAATAATCCCAATGTATCTATGTATATATATCCTATTTTGATATAGTAATTTCCATTTTCTTTTCCAGTATCCCTATATATAGGAAAAAATCTGTATATACATATGTGTGTGAATACAAATACCTGCATATTTATATGTGTATGCAGATATACTAAACCCTAAACCCTAAACCCTAATATTCCCACCACCAGGAAGCAAC